CACCCATGCGTGTGTTTTCCCCCCCCCCCCCCCCCCCCAGCATCCCCAAATTTTGGTGTATGGCATTTCCCCCTTGGAATTTCCCTTGCAGAAAGCCCAGCCTAGCTGGCGCTTGCAGACCTCACTTCTCCTGTGGAACTTGCTCCCTTCCCCTTCCCAGCTGGGTGAGAATGAATCTGAGCCCCAAAACAGGATCCGCTGCCACCACTTCCTGCCCCCTCTGCAGCCACCTTCCCTGCATGACCTCAGCCTTGCACAAGCACTGGAGAGGTGCCAGCACTGCTCCAGCTGGGGTGCAGCATCAGCACCCACAAAAGCCTCAAGCCTGCAGCAGGCCTGGGGTACCTGCCCTGCCAGGGCTGGAGAGCAGAGCCAAGAGCCCCCGCAGCTCCCAGGCTTTGGGAGGCTGGAGCAGGGATCTGGAAAGAGCCCTCGTGCCCACCAGCACTGGAGCCTGCTCTGGAGACTCCTCAAGGCTGAGCTGCAGCCCCTCAGCCCTGCCTGGACACCCCCAGCGTGCCCTGGGGGGGTTTCTACTACCTGCAGCTCTGGGGGGTAGCAGTGGGCACAGGCTCACATCTCAACCCCCCCCTGGGATTAGCTTGACCTTAATCTCCCCGGGCACGCAGGGGCTGGTGTGGGGCTGGCAGGGCCCCCAGCACCCACTGAGCCATGCCCTGGTGCCTTGCCAGACACTGGAGTCAGTCCCAGCTCTGCCCCATCCCAGTGATTGCTCCAAGGCTTCCTGTGCTGGACTTTGCCCCCAAAAACCTGGTGGCCCTCAACATGTGCCCAAAGCCCGGTGCTGCTCCCTACCCAGGGTGCCTCTGAGAGACCCCAACATTCAGCACACCAGAGAGCAAGGCCAGGCCATGGCCCTGCTCTGGGACCCCATCTCCCTCCTGCCACACTCTGGGGGACCCAAGGCAGGGCTCAGATCCGTGGGACAGCAGGAGGAGAGGGACAAACCTGACTTTGAGGCAGTGCTTTGGCTGGAGCAGGACTGGAGCTGTTTCACAGGCTCTTTTCAAAGTCCAAGGGGCGTGTGAGGTCCCTGTGGGCTGCAGCTCCCCCTGGGCTGTGCAGGGTCCCCATGGGCTGCACGTGGCTCCACAGGGATGTGAGAGGTCCCTGGGGGAGTGCATGGGCCCCATGGGGCTCTGTAAGGAGCCCATAATGCATTGTCCCCTGGGGGCTGTGCAGAGACCCCATGTGGGTCTGTAAGGAACCCAAAGTGTCTGTGCTGTCCCTACAGGGCTGTGCACACACCCCATGTGGGTCTGTAAGGAACCCAACACGTCTGTATTGTCCCCTGGGGGCTGTGCAGAGCCCCCACGGGTCTCCAGCTCAGCCTCTCCCCAGTGTGACCAGCTCAGGAGTGCCAGGGCACAGTGGCCCCGTGGGGGACATGGGGTGTTAGTTCCCTGTTGCATTTCCCCAAGGCAGTTCCCCATGGCAGTTCCCGTGTCTCCTGACCTGTCTCCTCCCAGGAACACGTCCAGGCAGCAGCACAAGATGCCAGCAGCAAGGCTGGCTGCCCCCATCACTCCAGAACTCGCTATTTTGGGCACAACCTCATGACTTTTGGGGGCTGGCAGTGCCAGGCCTGGAGAAGGGTTGAAGGCCCATGGGAGGGGACAGGCTGCAGCACAGCGGGGGTAGCTGCCCCAGCGTTGTGGCATCCCTGAGCTGGCAGAAAAGGGAAGCAAACAGCACAGAGAGGGGGTCAGTGTGTCCCCTCTCATGCTGGGAGCACCTGCCTGTGACACCCCCTGCGCCCCTCTCCTGGAAGGGGAGATGGCACCTTGCTGGTTCCCCACAGCCTCACTAGAAGCTGGGAGGTGGCAGCAATGCCCTGGACCCCCTGGCACCCCTGAGCCTCAGCCCTGCTGCCCCCAAACCCGGGGTGATGCGGCCCCACGCAGCAGGGGGAGCCCAGGCATCCAAGCACAGGGGCAGGGGTACCCCCAGACTGGGCATCCCGGGCACCTACCTGGCTGTGCCTGCGCCCCGGGCGCCCGCCTGCGTCCCCTCACATCGTGGCTCCGCAGCGCTGTGCCTGGTAAAGCCGATTATGCATCGGCTTTACGGCTCTCCTCCTCCCCAGCGTCCCCTCCTGCCCGGCCGCAGTGCCTGGCACGGCCCGGGGGCACAGGGGGTCCCTTGGCAGAGTGTGCGGGTCATCCTCGGGGTAGGAGCAACCCTTCACTCAGGTTCTGCACCCCTCAGCCCGTCCCATCCTGGGGAATGTTGGGTCCCCTAAACCCCCAGGGGAATTTCTGAGTCCTTACCTCAAATTCCCCCCCCCCTCCAGTCTCTCTCTGGGGGGCTCCTTGCCCGGCTGGCCCAGCTCTCAGCAACCCACCCTGAGCCAGGGTGTGGGGGGCCACCCTGCTTCCCCCCTCCCACAGTGGGTGCTGAGCCCCAGCCCTGCCTGTGGGGTGGGAAGAGACCCCTGGGGGGTCCCTTTGCTGCTGGGGGGGTAGCACAGCACCCCCAAATCCCCCTGGAGAGCAATGATGACAGCACACAGCATGGGAAGGGTTCAGCTGTATTTTGACTCTGGAAGAAAATACAGGCAGTAATACAGAAGCTTTGCAAGCATAGATACATACACGACCTCCCCAAAACCCACTGGAGTGGGGGGCTTGTCCTGGAACCTTCTCCAGCCCCACCCCTCTGCTGCACTTGAGGTCAGGGGGGGCTGCAGGTGTTTCCCAATCAAGGCAAAAAGCCAAGAGATCTGCCAATGGCTGGAGGAGGACTCCTGCCAAGGGGGAAGCTGCATCCACCAGACCCCAAAATCCACCTCACTCGAACAAAAAGCCTTCCTAGATGCTTTCCTGGCAAACCAGCTCTGACCTGGACTGAGCATCTTCCTCTTAATCCCTGAAACAGCTCCTGAGCTCTGGCCACCAGAGATGAGCCTGAGTAACTGCAGCCAAGGGAAGGTGGGGTGAACCCCTCTCTGGGGTGAACCCCTCTGGGGGGATGAACCCCTCTGGGGGGGATGAACCCCTCTGGATGCAGTGGGGGATGAACCCCTCTGGATGCAGGGGGGATGAGCCCCTCTGGATCAGTGTGGGGGTGAGCCCCTCTGGATGCAGTGGCTCTCAAAGAGGGGGCCTGGGGGGCCCTGCTGGGGCTGAGCTTGTGGGACCGAGGTCCATCACCCCAGCTGTCAAATCCATCTGGTCCCAAAACGCAGCTCCGGTGTTTTCACTTGCCCTGCTCCATCTCCACTCAGCTGGGCTCCAGTGGGGCTCCCAGCCCGGCCCCCACCTCAGCTAAGGCACAACTTGGCTGATGAAGAAAAAGGGCAAGAGGTGCCTGGGATGGGGAATACGGGGAATACAGTACATAGAGCACGGGGTGCAGGCGGGCAGGGGGCTGGGGAGGGGGCAATGGCCACAGAGAGACGTGGGCATCGCCCGCGAGCTGCCAGGAGCCCCCGCGCCAGCACCGCCAGGAATCACAACTCAAAAAAGAGAAAAAAAGGGAATTTTGGCTTCAGATCCCAAGAAAAAGGGTTGTAAAGGCACTGTGCTCCACTTGAGACAGGACAGCAGCCCCTGTGGCACGCAGCTCCAGTGGGTATGGCTGCACTTCTCCCTGTCCTACGTAAAAAGCTTTGGCAAAAAAGGTACAATCGAAGGAGCATTTCAGCTACAAACTCCTCCTGCATGGCTGCTGTGTAAACACAGTTCTTTGCTGTCTTTGGCTGAAGTTCTAAAAAATATTTGAAGCTGAAAAGCTATTTTTTGGTTTGGTTTTTTTTATATAGAAATAGATTTTTTCTTTACAAAAAAAAATCAAAGCATCTTTTAGCACTTTTAATATATATATATATAAAATTCCTGCTATAGAAAACAAAAAAAAAACAACCTTGGTTTTCGATATCTCGGTTTTTTAAGGGAAAAAAAATTCTGTTGCTTTGGGAAAAAAAAACAAACCTAGCTGGAGACGGGCAGGAACCACAGGAATGCGCCATGGAATTACATGATGCTGCAGTTCTGCACAGCCTGAGCCTGCGAGGGAGAAAGAAAAAAAAGAGAGTTAAGAAGACCCCAGTGTCACCATCCATTTGCTCTGACTGCAAAGTGTCCAGTGGGATCCTTTGGATGCCCACAGGCTCTCCTCCATGCTGGCCCTTGGGGTGTGATAAATAAATCCTCCCAAGCTGGAATGTTCGTAGTTCCAAAATTTGAGAATTAGTGGTAGGTGATATGTGAGGATTATAATACTGACCAAGAGTATCAATATAGAATATATTGTACATTAATCTAGTATATAAAGTGCTGAAATATTCACATTGCCAGCAGGAACACCTAGCAGCAGTGGAATGAGTGATGTGGAGGATGGGGAATGCTCTGGGCTGCGGAGGGGGCTGAGCGTTAGATGGAACGAGGTGGGAAGCTGCTATGGCTACATCCCTTTCCAATCCCTCTGAGAACCCCCCATCCCTTATAAAGAGGCTTGTGTGAGCCCAAAGAGGAAGAGGAAGAGCAGGGAGAAGGAGGAGAGGCGGGAGGGCACAGGAGCCCTGCAGCACTGCAGGGAAAGGACAGTGCCGCGACAGGGCGACCCAGCAGCACGGGGCCCGCTGGCAGCGCGGTGCCAGGGAGGGGACAGCGGCCTGGGAGTGACACTGACCTGCCTGCGGGGGCTGGAGCTCCCCAGGAGGTAGTTCCTGGACACCAGGCTGTCCCCGAGGCCGATGCCAGAGTCGCCCATGCTGCGGTAGCTGCGGGTGACGGTCACGCTGGAGGTGGACGAGCCCGAGGACATGGTGTTGATGCCGGCGTTCTGGGAGCCCGACTTGTCAGCTGGCTGGCCACACGTGCCACAGACCACGGTGCGGGAGCGCAGGTTGTACTCGCCAGGGTCCCCAGAGCCACTGCAGCCCTAGACACGGGGGGGACAGACAAAACGGCCTCAAGGCCCTGCCGGAGCACCCTCTGCTCTCAGGATGGCGGCAGCACCCAGGAGAGCTCTTGAAGAGAGCCTCTCACCTGTCCTCTCCATCACGTGGTTTGGAAATAATAAAACAGAGCCCTGATTAATGTGTTTCTAATCCCAAGTGACTGGGGCCAGCACGCTGCCAGTGGGTGACCTGCCCTGCTGCCCTGAGCTCCTGGCACATGGGAGACACCTGAACTGTGCTCCTGAAAACATCTTCTTCCTCACCACCTCGTGAGCTGGCAGCTCTCCAGTGGGAAGTTTGCTCTTGGAAAGGATTCAGCCTCCAGAGGAATGGGCAGCACTGACTGACTGCAGGAGCTTGGCTCCTCTCTCCAGGGATGGTCAATGCAGAACAGAATCACAGAATTATGGAATGGTTTGGGTTGGAATGGACTTGAAATCTCACCTCATTCCAGCCTCCTGCTGTGGGCAGGACATATTCCACTAAACCAGGTTGCTCTAAGTCCTGCGCAGCCTGGCCTTGAACACTTCCAGGACTGGGGCAGCCACAGCTTTCCTGGGCAACCTGTGCCAGGGCCTCACCTCCCTCACGGGGAACAATTTCCTTCCAGTATCCCATCTAACGCTGCCCTCTAACTGCCAGGGGGAAGCCATTCTCCGGTGTCCTGTCACTCCAGACCCTTGTCCAAAGTCCCTCTCTGGCTGTCTTGGAGCCCTTTTAGGCCCTGGAAGGAGTTCTAAGGTCTCCCTGAAGTCTTCTTTTCTCCAGGCTCTCCCCAGCTCCTCCAGCCTGCCTCCAGAGCAGAGAGAGTCCAGCCCTCAGAGAATCTTCATGGCTACTTCTGGACTTGCTCCAGCAATTCCTTGTCCTTCTTGTGCTCAGGGCCCGAGAACTGGACCCTGCACTGCAGGTGGGTCTCACAAGGGCAGAGTAGAGAAGGACAATCCACCAGCTCAACGTGCTGATATCAATCTCAGCACAGCTCTTCAGATCCAGAGAACCCAAAGGGAAGTGGATGATGGATGCTCCTGCAGAGCTCTGGAAGTGACATCCAGAAGATCTTTCACCCCCACTGAGGCACGGCTTGGCCACGATGGTCCCTCTCTGCAGGTGATTCCTGCGGGCACCTCGTGTGCAGGACACACACACCCTGCAGGATGGGCTGCTGCGGGGCTGGGCTGCAGCCAGGGGTGTTTCCTTGGGAGAAGAGGCTGCAGCTCTGCTGCTGACATGCTGCCTGCTCTCTGCCCACTGCCTGCTGCTCCTCCTGGTGCATATTTCAGCTCAGTATGGGGAAAGATGGGCTGAGAGGAAGGACAAAGCCACCTCTGGATGGCTTTGTCTTCCAGCACCCTCATGAAGCAGAGAGGACAGAGCAGCTGCTGACAAGAAGTGTCCTCCATCAACTTCCCACCATCCTATCCTCCAAGCAATGCTCAGCCTCCCTCTGACTCTTCTGGCCCTTTTCACAGCACGTCAGGGTTCTTTAGGGTTGGAGACAACTTCCAGAAAGGTCTTCAGAGTTTTTTAGTGAGCAGCAATCTCCTCCAGACGCCAGAGGTCTGTTGGCTTCTCTGATGCAGTTGTTTCCACAGCAGCCTCCCCACTGCCCTCTCCTGTATGCCTGATCCTGTCTGATGCTGAGCTCCCTCCCTCCCTGCCTGAAGCTGCACCCCCTGGGACCCCTCGGAACCAGCAGCATCCCCAGCACCCTACTCACATGGTGGTGGCGGTGGTGGATGCTCATTTCATCATCATCCTCGTCCTCATCATCATTGATGATCACAGTGCGCACCAGTTTCCTCATGGCCACTTCCTGCAGGGGACAGGGGGTCAGTTGGGGGGTTCAGTGCCTGCCACCCCCATCCCCATGCCAGAGCTGCCACGGGCTCTCACCTCCCCGTTGGAGTTGATGAGGGCGGTGCGCAGGCTGTCCCCGGAGCCCCAGCTGCTCTGGGCTTTCCACACCAAATTACTGGGGGGGCTGTGGGTTGCTCCAGCTCCTGAGGCCCAGATCTAGGGAGAAAAGCAGCAGCAAAGTGACTTCTCTGGTCTGCAGACTCCACAGCCTGGGGAACTATCACCACACAGACCTACACACCAACCACTCCATGTAAGTGGCCTGGAGGGGTTTGGGATCTTGCCTGGATCCTCCACCAGGCAGGGACTCACCGTGACCACCTGGCCAGCCTTCAGGGTGAACTTTGGGGGGAAGCGGTAGGTAAGGGGGGGATCATCCCCATTTTGCCTCTTGATCTGCCAGTTCCCCATGGCCTGGTCCTGTGAGAGAGAGCAGAGACCCTCAGAACCGTGGTTCCTCTCCAACTCATCCCGTTCACCTCCTGCCCGTAGGGTGAAGCAGGGCTGAACCTCACCCCAGGGACTCTAGGGATCTCCCTGAAGGCAAACTCACCTCGTTGGACTTGTTCCTGAGACGGACGAACTTGCCCTCCAAGTCCACCTCCTCCACGCCAACACGGCCACTGGTCCGGGCGTGGTGGGAGAAGCTGGTCCGGCTCTCACTGTCCTCCAGCTTCCGCTTCTTGGAGGAGCCTGGGGTGGACAGGTGGCTTCGGGATGCACCTTTGTGGGATGAAGGGCTGGGGGACAGCCTCAGCCTGCCAGGGGAGAAGAGGAGATGAAGCCAGTGAGGCCACAAGGGCTGGGACCCGCGTGGCCCAGAGCTGGGCACAGCACCCTGTGCTCACCGCTCCTCCTCGCCCTCCAGCAGCTTGCGGTAGGCGTTGATCTCCATATCCAGAGCCAGCTTGATGTCCAGCAGCTCCTGGTACTCATCCAGCTGCTGCTGCATGCGCGCCCGCATCTCGGCCATCTCCCGCTCCTTGTCGGACAGCAGGCGCCGGTTGGTCTCGCGTTCCCTGGCCAGGATGTCCTCCAGGTCGTGCAGCTTCGCCTCCTTGGCAGCCAGCTGTGGGGACGTGATGGATTGGTCTCCTTGAGCCAGGTCTTATAAGCTCTTGGAGATCTGTACCACACCCGAGATGGCACAGCCACCTCAGATGGCATAAAATCAGCGGGATGGCTTCTGCGGTGGTGTTGGAAACAGAAAAGTTTTAATAACAAAGCTCTTTACAGAGAAAAACCGAGCCAGGGCAAGAGGCTCTTGCTACTGGTAGAACACCCCACAAAAGTTATTAGTTCCTTTGTTCTCTTATTTTTCTAGTGAATTGCTTAGGTGGGACTTCATTCTGAGTTCTGTGTCTGTTCCTTTTTACATATTGTAAGTTAATAAAGTTTTTTTTTCTTTTATTCTTAAGCTGGAGCCTGCTTAGCTCTATTTCTAGTCACATCTCACAGCAGCCACTAGGGAGAATATATTTTCATAAGGGCACTGGCATTGTGCCAGTGTCAAACCATGACAGGCTGGTGATCCCAAAATTGGGAAGGGAAGATCTCAGATCTGTGGATGGGGCTGGAGATCCTAAAATTGGGAAGGGCAGTTCTGGGATCCACAGACTATGCTGGAGATGCCAAAATTGGGAAGAGCAGTTCTGGGATCCACAGACTGTGCTGGAGATGCCAAAATTGGGAAGGGCAGTTCTGGGATCCGTGGATAGAGCTGGAGATCCCAAAATTGCATTCTGTCCAACTGGCTATCCTTAAGTTTGAGGTGAAGTCCCCAAGATCCCATGAGGTGAGGAGAGAAATTGAGTCCTATGAATTGAGGAGAGAAACTTCTGGGCTTTTTTCCTTTTTAAGGAGACAAAGGATAATTTGGTCACCAGGGGGCACATCCCTACAGGGAGGGCAGATGAGGGTGGGCCACTCCACCTGGGACCATCCCCAGGCCAGATATCCCAGGGAACCCTTTGGTCTCAACTCACCTGCTTCTGCAGCTGGCTGACTTCCGAGGAGAGGTTGTCGATGCGGATACGGGTCTGCTGCAGCTCCTCGTGGGCAGCACCCACCATGTTGCTGTTCCTCTCAGCTGACTGCTTGGCATTCTCCAGCTGGGGACAGGACAAGGCCGTCAGCATCTCAGCACCCACAGCCCACCCACGCTCTTCGGGGCTGAAGGGAGAGGAGAGCGGCGTGGGGAAGCTGCTCACCTTCGCCCCGTAGGTTTTCTCCAGTTCCTCCTTGTAAAGCCTGATCTGGGCTTCGTGCTGGCTGCGCAGCTCCTGCAGGGCCTCCGAGAGCTTGCTCTCAAACTCCCGCTGCCGCCCGTTGTCGATCTCCACCAGCCGCGTCTCGTGGCGCCGCTTGGTCTCCCGCAGCTCCTGGGGACAGCAGGGGACACCGTGTCACCTCAGCGAGGGGACACGACACACCCAGTGGGGGTGATCCCAGCCCCACGACAGCACATCGCAGCTCACCTCGCTGTAGATGTTCTTCTGGAATTCCAGCTCCTCCTTCAGGGTCTGCAGCCGGTTCTCGGCGTCCACGCGGCGCAGCATCTCGTCCTGCAGCTGCTTCTTGGCTTCACCCAAGGCGCTTTCCAGCTGGCAGGGAATCGAGAAGGAACATCACAGCGGGCTCTGGGCACTGCAGCCGGCATGGCTGGGCACCCACCACCCACCTGCATCTGCCCCACAGCCCCTGGCACAGCGGGCTGCCCCAGGCAGGGGGGTAAAAGGGATCCCTGGCTCAGCTGGAGACAGAGCTGCCACTGCTCACCTTGGCCACCTGTCCCCTCAGGTCCCGCACTTCATTTTCCAGATTCCTCTTCTCACCCAGGGCCGTGGAGAGCGCAGCTTCCTTGGAATTAAGCAAAGCCTCCACATCCTTGAGGCGTGCCTGGGCAGTCAGCAGGTCCCCTTCCTTCTTGGCATTCCTGCAGGGCAAAGGGTGGCACAGGTGAGTGGACATGCAGGAATAATCACAGTCATCAGGAAATAATGGAGTTGCTTTGGTTCAAAGAGACCTTAAAGCTCATCTAGTTCTATGCCCTGCCATGGGCAGGGACATCTTCCATTAGACCAGGTTGCTCCAAGCCCTGTCCAACCTGGCCTGGAACATCTCCAGGGATCCAGGGGTAGCCACAGCTTCTCTGGACAGCCTGTGCCAGGGCCTCACCACCCTCACAGGGAAGAATTTCTTCCCAATATTCCATCTAATCCTGACCTCTGGCAGGGGGAAGACATTCCCCCTTGTTCTGTCCCTCCAGACCCTTGTCCAAAATCCCTCTCAAAATCTGCTAGTCCCTTTAAGCACTGAAAAGGACTCTAAGGTCTTGTAAAGCTTCTCATCCACCAGAACCTCCAAGTCCTTCTCCTCAGGGCTGCTCTCAGAAAAGCCTGTGCACCGTACCCCGAGCACAAAGAGTGCCGCTCCTGCCCCCCTCTGATCGCTCCCGAAAGGGCTGCACCGCTGTCCCTAGGAACCACCCTCGAGGGACCAGCGCATCCCAGCCGCACAGCCAGCCCTAGCTGGACACCAGGGAGCAGGAGGGGCTGGGAACGGCTGGCAGAGCAGGAGGAGGCTCAGGGTGCAGCACCCACGCGCAATCCGCACACCCACGGCATGGCAAGACACCAGGCTGGGGCTGCCCTGGCACCGTGGGGATGCAGGGCAGCGCGGTGGGGCACTGCAGCACGCCGTGGTACAGCAGGACACCGCGAGGGGTGCCAGAGGCCACCATGGCACGGGACAGACAGACGTGTTAGGGTGGCTCAGCACGGCGTGGGGGGCTGGATGGCGGAGCAGCAGCCGGGGAGGAGCTGGAACTGCCCCATGGCCGGTGCTGGTGGCCAGGCAGAGGAGTCTGTGGCACCGCGCCAGTGCCAGGAGCTCCATGCCCCTCCTGGAGTGGCCAGCGAGCACCAGGGGCTGGGGGCTGCACTGCTGTGGCTGTGCCTCGCCCTGAGCTCCGCTGGTGCTCGGTGGATGCAGAGTGGGGTGCCTCAGCCCCCCAGCCCGACCCCTGCCATCACCACCCACCATCGTGCCCCCCTCTCTTGTCCAGCCCTGTGCCAGCAGGTCAGAGCCGCTCCTCGCAGGATTCCTCCACCGTGTGACGGGGAACCCGATCTGCCTGCACCACCAAAACACAGCCTGGAGCTATTTTGGTAGGTCCTATAAAAAGATAAGACCCAACGGCCCCCCAGCAGCCGCCAAGGGCTGGGACTGTCACCGCACCTCCCTGAAAACGGGGTGCGGGCTGGGGGCGGAACGAGGAGGGCTCGGAGCCGAGCACCGGCAGTGCGGGCATCCCTGGGGCCGGCAGGGCGCACCGAGCCGGGACACCGCGGGCACAAACCCAGGGAGCATCCCAGAGCAGCGTCCAGAGCGCCGGGATTCACCCGGGAGCGGCGGGACGGCGTTTCCAGACTCGCACATGCGGGATGTCGGAAGCTCCTGGATTGGCCAGCAGCAGATTTTCCTGTATTTCTTTTTGTTTCCCGACCCGAGCCAGCAGGGAGAAGTTATTCTGTTATTCTGGGTTTCAAAACACCAGGTTTCAAAATCCCAGGTTACTGTTTTTAAGTGCAAACCTCCCTTCAAATCCCAGGATATTCCCTGTTAAAAGAGCAGGAATTCCACTTAAGGACAGTATTAAAAAAAAACCAAACCAACAATTCCTACACGTACAGTAACGAAATTCAGAATCACTTAAAGCGCTGCTGTCAGGAAAAGCAGAGCCCAAGAACCTCTGGGAATCCAGGAGCAGCTTGCAGACTTTTTCTTGGAAGTGAAGATCTGTCTTCTGCCTTTCTTTCGATTTCTGAAAGCTCCTTTCCCAGCCCAGAACACTCTGTATTGTGGTGTAGAGGGCCCAGTGTAACATGTTGGATTTGTAATGAATTCTAGAACGTATCTGTGGTCGGATTTTCATATTTTAATGTTTGGGGCTCTCAGGTAAGAGGGTCTCAATGCTATGCATAGAGTATGATTTCATAGACCATAAATTCCATAAAATAGCCTCTTTTATGTCTAAACAGCACTTGAGCAGTCTAGAGAATTTGGAATTTAGCCCACAGCGGAATAACTGACCAAGAAATGCTGCTGGTCCCCCCTTTTTCCAGGGAACCACAGTCTCACTTGCCGGAGCTGCTGCTGGAGCTCCTTCCTGTTCAACCCACTCCTTTGTGCCAGTGACTCACAGGACAAGAATGCCAGCTGGGAGCGGGTCCGAGGCTCCAAGGCTCGCTGAGTTTTCCCATCTGGCCGTGGCTCAGCCCCGTGGCCAGCGTGGCCACCCCAGCTCTGCCGGCGGGGTGCAGCCCTGTCCTTCCCGGTGCAGTGCCATGTGGCTTCTCCCCATCCCTGGGGGTTGCTGCTGCTCTCTGCTTGCCGTGTTGCTGTGGGGGTTTGGGTACAGCTGGAGGGCACTGGTTCGTTGGGATGGGGCTCCAGCATGACCTGGATGGCATCGCTCTTCCAAGGGACAGGAGTTCCACTGACCGGGACAAACAGAGTGAAAAATGCTGAGGGTTAAACTTGTGTCTGCAGCAGATTCGCCCTCTCCAGGGACCAGAAGCATCCAGGGCTCTGGGCATCAATGGCTGGAAAGCCCCACAGTAAATCCCAGACGACTGAAGGACAAATCCCTTTTGCTTAGAAGCCCCACTAAGGGCGCCCTGGATTCCACTGGAGGAGGAGAGCCAGAAGCTTGGAGCTCACCAGCCCGAGCTGGGAGTAGTTCTGCCAGAGGGAGAGGGGTGAGACAAATCCTCTCCTGTCCTCTGCTCTGGGGGTTCAGTGGTCGGCAGAATTTGGCTCCCTGGGGCCTCAGCATTTCCCCAGGTTCCTTCCAGACACACCCAAATGTCAGGATGAGGTAGCAGCACACAGGTGAGTCCTCTCTGGCCTTGGGGACCCCCAGCCCACCGCTGCACACCAGCCCCGTTGATCCCTGCTCCAGCCCAGCCAAGGTTTGAGTTTTCCCTTCTCCTGCCCTCAGGTCCTGCTTTTATTCCCGGGAAGCCTCACAGGCTCCAGCTGGCGCTGGGCTAAAAATAAAAACTTCCATGGCAGCTGTGTCACTCCCACTCCCCTGGAGAGGAGGATGAAGACAGACCTTCCTCCTCCTCCCCAGAGGGTTTCACTGGCCTTTCCATGCTGCCTGACAGAGCCTACAAGATTCCAAATTCTCCAGTGAAAAGGAAAGCAGGAATTCTGGAGGGCTGGGTGCCTCCAAATCCCACAGGATTTGATCCCCTGTGCTGCGAGAGCCACGGGTGAAAACAATCCAAGAGGAAAAAAAACAACAGAGGCATCAAACCCTCAAGAAACAAATGTCTCAAGAGAAAAGATGGAGGGAAAAGGGGCCTCAAGACATTTTATTTTTAGCTTTTAAAAGCAGGAAGAAGGAAAAAAAAAAAAGATTGAAAATTGCAGCTGAGCTGCCAGAAAATTCAAATGTTAATGGAAAGTTGGATCTGCTCTGGCTGCGCTCAGCACAGAGAGACGCGAGGCTGTGAAGTCAGAGCGGGCTCAGGGACAGCCCCACAGAGCAGCATCTGCTACTGCTCCCCCCTGTCTGCCCCAAAATCCCAGCCAGGAAACCTGGCAGGCCTGGGCTCTCCCTCTGGAAAAGTCAAGACAGGACAGAGTCGTCAGAGCTTGCTGGAACAGCTCCAGGCTGAGCCCACCAGGCTGCTGGAAAGATGCCAGCCCTCCCTGAGATGCCAGAGCCCACTCAGTGCATTTTTAGGAAACACTCTTTGGTTTCCCTCTCTACTGTTAATCCCCACAAGTGTTCCTGAAGCATGGGCAGCACTGGGCTCCGTGCACTGGAAGAGGACCAGGGAGTGGGATGGAGCTCGTAGAGGCGCGTTCCCTCCTTCCCTGCCTCAAACTGCAGCTGCCCCACCCTGGAAAAGGTGCCAACTCAGGGAACTTGCTGGCTCCTGCCCCATCCATTAATCCTTACGGAGCTCTGAAAATCCCCCCAGCCTGCAGGTCTCAGTCCCACCTGGCTGCCAGGGGCCACAGCTGCCTGCTCCTGGCTATCCCAGAAAAGGCTTTTGACACATTTACAGCTTGGAAACCCGGGGCAGGAGTGGCAGTGTGTGCCCGTGGCAGTCTCACATTGCTGGGAGGACCCAGCAAATGTGCTCGGCTCCACCTTGGGCAGGCTGCTCTCCATGGCACTGCCTCCAGTGCCTGGGATCTGTCCCAGGGTCACCACACGTATCCCAGGGATCACTCCCCCATCCCAGGGATCATCACCCCACTGCGGGCACTGCTGCCCAGTCCCAGGGGTTGTTTCTCCATCAAGGATTGCTCCCCCACCCCAGGGACCAGGGCCCCACAGGATGAGGAGAGGCAGACCTGGAAAACCGCTGCAGTGGGGCAATGGGAATGTGGCAAAGCAGCTTCTCCCAGCTTCTGACTCATCTGTGCCGCAGCAGCTCTGCCAAATCACCAGGATAAACACGGGCTGGTCTCCTAGCAGGGGAGCTGGAAATAGCCAGCGTGATGTACAGCAAGGACAGTGTCTGCACGGAGCCAGCATCCTGTGGGGCACCAGAGGCAGCTGGGGCTGCCAGCACCAGCTGTGTGCACACATGCACGGAAACAGCTTCCACATCTGGCATCAGTGGTGCCAAAGACCCTTCCCGGTGCCAGGGGCAGGGCTGGCCCTGCCACACGCTCCTGATACACCCACGGCATGCTCAGCCATGGGGCTGAGGGGCTTGTCCAGCCCCACGTGGCCCCAAACAGCTCAAACAGCTCACTGGCACGTGGAGCAGAAACAGCTCACTGGCATCTCCCAAGAGCTGGGCTTCCCCTCCTGGCATTGGGATCTGGCTTCTCCTTGCACCCTTAAAATGAACCAGGAAAAAGCTTCGTTGGGAACCAGGAAAAAGCCTTTCATGAAGAGGCAAA